GGTAGTTGTTGATTTGTTGTGATACAGTTAGTTGGTTATCTGTGTTTTAGCTATCTAGCTGCCGACCTATAGGGCTATAAAGTGAGAGAAAGAGTGTCTCTGAAACCCAGGTGTAGTGCAATTTGTTAAAGTACCAGAGCTATGATGTGCACATGTGCACACACATGTTTAGGTTGTGGCTCATTTCGAGGGCCATGTGGCAGGTTCACATACATACAATATTTGACCGCCTGACCTCTGACAGGCACTTCAGGAGCCTCCAGACCAAAACCAGTAGACTTAGGAACAGCTTCTTCCCCACAGCTGTCTCCTTACTGAACTCTGCCCCCCATTGACCCCCCATTGCCTTCTTCTATACCACTACACACACCTCACCCCTTCTCATCTCTCCTTCTGGGACCAATGCAATACACTTCTGTTACTTGTAATACTGAAGTGATCAGTTAATTTGCTCACAGAATACTGCTCTGTTATTCATTTGCACACTGTACTCTAATCTAATACAATATTAGATCATGTATAACCTGTAATTCTTGCATTCTGTCCTGTCCTTATAAAATGATTTTTATTGGAAAAACAGCAACAAAATTGAGAATCCGACTGAATGATCATTAAAGCTTTATTAGTTTTACTTTATTCATTAACACCAGGGATTAAATTACTCTCCATGTCAGTCCAGGCCCAAACTTCATCCATACAACAATTGTATAAATGGTTATTGTCTTCCAAGATTTCTGGAACAGTCCAGTTGTCCTCAGCGAACACACCAGGGATTAAATCACTCTCTATGTCAGTCCAGCCTGAAACTTCACCATGATGAAGAGTGGATAAATGCGTGTCGTCTTGCAAGCCTGCTTGAGCTGCCCAGTTGTCCTCAGCGAACACACCAGGAATTGATTCCCCCTCCATTTCAGTCCAGGCTGAAACTTCACCATGATGAAGAGTGGATAAATGCGTATTGTCTTGCAAGCCTGCTTGAGCTGCCCAGTTGTCCTCAGCGAACACACCAGGGATTAAATCACTCTCCATGTCAGTCCAGCCTGAAACTTCATCCATACGACGATTGTACAAATGGTTATAGTCTTTCAGGATTTCCAAAACTTCAACCATACAACGATTGTGTAAATGGTTATTGTCTTCCAAGATTTCTGGAACAGTCCAGTTTTCCTCAGCGAACACACCAGGAATTGAATCACCCTCCATTTCAGTCCAGGCTGAAACTTCACCATGATGAAGAGTGGATAAATACGTGTCGTCTTGCAAGCCTACTTGAGCTGCCCAGTTGTCCTCAGCGAAGAGACCACGAATTGAATCGCCCTCCATTCCAGTCCAGGCTGAAACTTCACCATGATGAAGAGTGGATAAATGCGTGTCGTCTTGCAAGCCTGCTTGAGCTGCCCAGTTGTCCTCAGCGAAATTATTAAAATCATTTAACACCCCTGAGTTCACACCACCTACGTGTATGCAAGAATATATCAGTATGTATTAACCTTTAATCATTTCATGTAGGATCCACGGTCTTCACTCCGGTCCATGGAGCTCTTCGATCCAATAGAGCAGGAACTGCCTCCAATAGAGATGAGATTTTACTTCTTCATCTCTTGTTTAGAATGAAGCAGATGAGCCCCTTGCAGGAGGACAACATTCCCTCAGGTTTTGCATAAATCACATGCACAGAGACTACACTGGTTATTGGATAGAGAATGAGATCTCACAAAATCTCATTCTATTGTCCCTCTTAACTACTGTATGTAGCCATTATAATAGGTAGAAGGATGAAAACAGCTGCTTCCATTCCAGCCATGGCCCCAGTCATCGGGTACATAGATGGATGGCTGAGAATGGTTGGTCTGGATTCTCACCACAGGGTGTCCGTTATCTAATCTGCACATACAGTATCAAATTAGAACACCAATATATTTATTCCATTCCTCTTTGAATGATTAAATCTCAGAAACCAGCTGAGGCCTCAAGAATGATTAATGTACCCAGGCTGAAATGAGAGTGCCTCTGATAGTGAGATAATGAGAAAAGGAAAGAAGACAAGGAAGCACAAAGAGATTATTTATTCAAATGCAAAAGAACAGGCCGAAACACAGGTATCCTAAATTAGTGTTAACCATCTTGAATTCATAGCATGGATCACTGCAGTTGTTCAACTTTTACTGGTCATCTTATTCAGCTTGGGGACTGCTGATGGAAATGTCCTTCATTTAAACAACTCTCATTACGAGTGAAATAATGAAATTGGTAGTAAGACTTGAAATTACATTTACTACAAAAGTAAGCACAGAGAAGGCATGGCAGTAAAGGTTTACAGCTAAGTTCATTTGCTGTGCTGTACTGTAAGTCCTGCAGCCTAGAGAGCATAAGTGCACTTTTCAATCTCTTCATAGTTACAGCTGCACAGTGAACATTAGCTGGAGGCAGCTGAACATATAGTATATAACAAAACTCAGTACACCCCTGTACCATATCACTACAACCTTAAATGATTCAAAACTGTACCATCTTATTTTGTCTTATTTGATATGTAATAAAAAAAAAACTGGCTAAACAGACTAAATACATATGGGCCTCAACATGTCAATGTGATCATTGTGATTATTGCAACAAAAGGCAATTTACCTGTGACTGCTGCAACACAAACAATTGTGCCTGTGATTTCCAAACCATTTTCCATTCTTTATTAAAAATAGGGTGTCGTGTCCAATAACATCACTGATGACAGTGCTCAGAGTGAACCAAAACAGCAAAGTTGTGGACTATAGAATGAAAACAGTGAAGGATGCTAAAAGCCCAGCTGTAAGGAGAACTTCAGAGTCCAATGACAAACTAATTCTCATTCAAAAATATGAGCATCACCTTTCTCATTTTGCTGCCCTCATTACTGTAGCTTTAAATCTGCAATAATGGCCTTTTTCACTGCCTGGGGACTCAATATTGACATATCTTCACCTTTTAAGTTGAATTTGTGAACCTGTCAGCAAGCAGTTGCTTATTTACACACCCAGCAGTTACAGAGCATTATTGCCATTTGGAGTCACGTGTCTGGTCATCAGGTCCAATATATACAGTACTTTCTTTTAGCTCTGTTTTTGGTCTCCACCAACTCCAAAATATCTGATTCTTAATCTACGAACTGCTTGAGTATGTTCACCAGTTAGCTGCTAGCACCAAGCCTCGTCCACAAACAGTGTGTACACACAATTCTGTGCTGAAACCGTGTATACAAACAATTTATGCACAATTTTATTCAATATTCTGTATCAATATTTTCTTACCTTAATTTGTTCATACTCTGTGAACAAATTTAATACTGCCTCACCCCATGTGTATGAACAAATGATGAAGGCCTGGCTGGCTAAAAAATGCAAACACATTTTAACTGAAACTATATTAATTAAAAAGGTTTTAATAGCTAATATAATTGATTAATATAATTTAAGGCTATAATGATTAATTTACTAATGCATTGACCAAATGTAGCATATTAAATAAACATGAAATTAATGCCCTGTCATTCTGATTAATCACAGTTTTAATTGAAATAAATTAAATTTAAAAAACTGTTCTAGTTTATAAGTATATAGAGAAATGGGGGCATGGCAGCAGGCTACTTGAAAACCACTGGAATGCGCCTGTCATTTTAGAATGATTCTGATTTACACTAACATACACACAATAGAAAGAACAAAATTGGCTGGTGTCATGAATATGATGGTAATGTCTCCTGCACTTATTTTGTGCACAAGGTAAGAACATTTCTATGCGCATGTTAGTGAATAAGGTCCACTGCCTGTCTGCCGTTTGGTGTTTACAGTCTTATGCAAAAGTTTAGGCACCCCTTGATACATAACAGATTTTGGTGATTTTTTATTTGAACAGATGTTAACACAGTTTCTCTTGGAAATGGAAAAAATGCACAATATTTTCTGCAAACAGTGATGCATAGTTACTTCTTATGCCATAAATTGAACAAAAATAAAAAATAAAAACATTATTATGGCATGGTGCAAAAGTTTGGGCACCCTACACAATCAGTACTTAGTAACACCTCCTCTGGCAGATATCACAGCTTGCAAACGCTTTTCATAGCCAGCTAAAAGTCTTTCAATTCTTGTACTTGGGATCTTCTCCCATTCTTCCTTGCAAAAGGCTTCTAGTTCTGTAATATTCTTTGGTCGTCTTGCATGCACAGCTCTTTTAAGATCTACCCACAAATTTTCAATGATGTTTAAATCAGGGGACTGTGATGGCCATTCCAAAACCTTCAGCCTGCGTCTCTTGAGGTATTCCATAGTGGATTTCGAGGTATGTTTAGGATCATTGTCCTGTTGTAGAAGCCATCCTCTTTTCAGCTTCAGCTTTTTTACAGATGGTGTGATGTTTGCTTCCAGAATTTGCTGGTATTTAGTGGAATCCATTCTTCCCTCCACCCGTGCAATGTTTCCTGTGCCACTGGCTGCAACACAACCCCAGAGCATGATAGATCCACCCCCATGCTTAATAGTTGGCAAGGTGTTCTTTTCATGAAATGCTGCTCCTTTTTTTCTCCAAACATGCCTTTGCTGATTGTGTCCAAAGAGTTCTATTTTAACTTCATCAGTCCACAGCACTTGTTTCCAAAACGCATCGGGCTTCTGTAGATGTCCTGTTGCATACTTCAGACGTTGGATTTTATGATGGGGACGCAGATAAGGTTTTCTTCTGCTGACTCTTCCATGAAGGCCTTGTCTGTGCAAGCATCGCTGCACAGTGGAACGGTGCACCACCACTCCTGAGTCTGCTAAATCTTCCTGCAGGTTTTTTGCAGTCAAATGGGGGTTTTGATTTGTCTTTCTGACCAGCATACGAGCAGTTCTGTCCGAGAGTTTTCTTGGTCTTCCAGATCTCATCTTGACCTCCACAGTTCCCCTGATCTGCCATCTCTTAATTACATTTCTTACTGTGGAAACTGCAAGCTGACAACGCTTTGCTATCTTCTTGTAGCCTTCTCCTGCATTGTGGGCGTCAATAACTTTCATTTTCAGGGTCTTACACAGCTGCTTAGAGGAACCCATGGTTGCTGGGTGTCCACAAGTGTGTGCACAAGGTTTGAAGAGTCAAAGTATTTGTACAGCTTTGAAATTGGCATTTACCAATGACAGCTGTTGCTGTGCATCAGATCTAACGAGCTGATTAAGGTCTGATACCTTGTGAGAGACTTTGAGACTCTGGAACTCTTAGGGTGCCCAAACTTTTGCACCATGCCATAATCATGTTTTTATTTTTTATTTTTGTTCAATTTATGGCATAAGAAGTAACTATGCATCACTGTTTGCAGAAAATATTGTGCATTTTTTCCATTTCCAAGAGAAACTGTGTTAACATCTGTTCAAATAAAAAATCACCAAAATCTGTTATTTATCAAGGGGTGCCTAAACTTTTGCATAAGACTGTATATGTCTATCTCAATATTAGGTCAGTGAGTCTGCACTTGGTTAGAATCTGTTTCTGCTTTTTATCTATGACAGTAGAGAGATAGTCTGCCAGTTCATAATCTCTTTTTAGGGTCAGATAATGTAACATTCTAACTTACTTTGGCTTTTGTTTTCTTCTTTTTAGTCTTCTAGATAGCTTTATTTACATAATTCAGTTTACTCTGATTGGTGTTTGGAATGCAGTGTTGTTGTGAGACTAGTCAGTGTGTGTCTGAGAGGGGCAGTTATTCTCAGGACCAAATTATAGAAGGGACTCTACTCGGTGCTCAGCTCTTGGGTTTGGGAGGCTCTGGAGTCGGGGGTAGATTTAAGCTGATTTAAAATTTGAGTGGTTTCTTTTTTATCAGTGGATATCAATAGATTGATCCAAAATCAGTCATTAAAAAGCTTGAGACTACAGAGTCTGCCTTTAGACTAAACCATCCCCTTCTGTTTTAGACATAACGCAGCAGGGCCGAGCTCCAAATGTGGTGAGGAAATACTGTGCTGTGCTATGTATTCTGAATGGTTATTTGAGTCGCTGCTAGAGGGAAGACTCTCCCAAAGCAAAACAGGAAATACTTTTTATTTTTGCTGAGGAAGATGTCGAATGAAAACAGTCACATACTGCAAACCCAACTGCAGAAAGTCGTTTTTGGTTGACAGTACTTACTTGTACTCTGTTGTTCTAGGCATCAGTCTACTGTTCTTTCATGTCATTGTTTATGATGACACTTGATGGCAGGGGTTTAAGAAATTCTTTGAAAAGGAAAGCTCTCCACGTTGGCTTTCCATTGAACCAGCAGTTTCTTGCATTTTGAACCAGTGGGAGGCGCTTAAATTGCATTTTGCATCCACCAAGCCCAGTGAACATTGCTACATGGCTGAGGTTTTGTATTCCATCTACAGTGATCCTCAAAGCATCCTGTAACTGACTTTTTTTAATTCAGTGCTGGGTGAGGTACAGTTGGCCATCAAGGCATTTGAGGGAGAGCAGGTAGATCCTCTTAAACTTCTTGACAGCTTGGTTAGCCTGATAACGTCTGCGAGTAGCAGGGTGCTGAATCCACTGGCAAATAATGATGTACTCAAAGAGCCAATTGATGGCTACATCAGTCCCAAACCGTACCTTGGTTACCTTTTTGAGTCAAAAGCAGCTGAGCTCCACCTTGCACCTGAGGAGAAGAACAATGTCCGAAAGAGGTGTGTAGCCTTTGCCATCTCCCTCACTAACAAGTTGAGGGTGAGACTGTGCAGTACATGTCAGTTTTCAATGCAGAGAAAGCTCTAAAGCACAATAAGAGCCTGGGAGAAATAGACAAAATAGCCAAGCTCCTTGGCTACTCTCCTGCAGAGACAGACAAGATTGTCCAGCAATAGGGTGCCATCCATCTTAGTAAATGGAATGAAACAAAAAAAAACACAGTGGGCTTCTGAAGTGAGATTTGGAAGTTCAGGGATGCAGCCGATATCAACCCGTTTCAGAAACTTGCCCTGGCTGCTGTGTCTGTGTTGTTCTTGCCACACTCGAATGCTGAAGTCGAGAGATTATTCAGCCAGATGAGTGTGGTCAAAAGCAAACTTAGAAATCAAATGTCCTTGCAGACCCTTAACGCCATCCTGTATGTTCGATATGGTCTGAAGTTGTCTGGTGAGGCTTGCTATGAGCACAAGCTGCCCGATAATGTTTTGCAGCTTTTTGGCACATTAGCTGCATTATTCATTTAAGTCAGCTTCCCTCAGTTGCTGAACCTGCCATAGAAAGCCTTGACCAAAATGAAGCTGATCTACTCTTTCTGTGAGCCGGCGCGTGTATGTGTGGAGGGGTCTGGAAAAAACAAAGAACCTGAATTAGGGCCAGACTAGTTAACATTATGTTCTGTTTTTGGTTGATTTCGATTATTAATGCTGTCGAGTTAAAACCGTCTATAATAATAATAATTTTAAAAAAAGTTAAATGTTATAGTTATAGCAAAAAATGTTCATGCTTTACTGTGACTTGTTATAGGTTCCTACTTGGATCATAAGGTTAGAAACTAAACCAAACTTAAGAAAACAAACAAAAAACCCTAAGTAACTCTGCCAGAGTGTCTCTTTTGGGTCACTTTGCCAGTCCCAAGCCTGGATAAAGGAGGAGGGTTGGACATAGAACTAGCAATTCCACCGCACATAACAGTCTATTGATTCAATTTTATATTCTAATATTTAACAATACAGGGCAAAACTGATTTATGTAATGTGGCTCTAGACAAAGCATTAAAGTTATTTTGAGAAGTGATGGCCTATTTTGCTGGCAAAGAAAAAAGAAGAATCCACAGAAGAAAGTTAATTTGTAGTTCTAAACATATTTGGGGTGTTTTTACTCACTTTTTGTCTCTCCCACGACCTTATTCCTCTCGTCCATGACAATTACATGCAAAAGGGAAATTATGCAAATTGGGCAATGGCGTCATTTAGCGACTTCTAGCGACTTTTAGGACAGACCAATAGCGACTTTCTTTACTTAGGAGTTGGGAACACTGCGCTCGCACGGGGCGTGCCAAACACCGGTTACCCACACAACTGGACAAGACAGTATTGCTTAATAGTGGGGGGTCAGATAACTAAGAGCCGTTCTTCCACTCTGGGTGGAAACTTGTGGTCTTGTGATTTAACCCGCATTTTACTGTTGGGACTTCACGTTATCATTCGGAAGCTGGAATCCACAACACATTTCCGTGAAGATGGGACGTTTCCTCTGACCAAGTCGTATTTCACACAATTGGGTAAGTCTACGCGTATCTGTGAGTTTTAACAAGTTAAAAAGAAGGCGATCAGTATATTTCGTGTACGTTTACTAACTTAAAACAGCGTTTTCCTTGTAAAGTGATTCACTAGCTGGCCATAAAGGTTAATGTTAGTTAACCTAATGTCACAACCGTGCTGTTTAAAGCGAAACTGTTGGTAAGATAGGTTTCTAGATTTGTGTGTTTATACTTTATTTCGCAATACAAGTTAAATCTAAACCTAATCAGACGGCGGGCGCTCGCAACTTGCTACGTGACAACAAAAATGAACTCTATGGGAAATACTGTGCTTTCCAAACTAGTCACCTTATAAGTGTAGCGTTCACATTGAACTAATGATTGAGACTTTGCCTAAACTTAACATAGTTATAGCAATCTGCCGCTGTTGCCGTAACTTTGGCGCATTCCGCGCCAAGGATTTCAAAAAGTTTACCTGCGCGGGATATCCTTCACTTCCTCTACGTTGCCTCGAGCCGTGCTCTCATTGGCTACTTATCTAAATAAGGGCGGCACCGCTGCGTCCGTTGGCCCCGATGATTCGATGGAATGCACGTCTGATACCGCCAATATCAATCTAATATTTTGATTAGATTTAAAGCGATTTTGATCAATTTTCCCAACCCGGGACTGCACAGAGTAACGTGTTTGACCATCAGTACAATATTTAAGTGAGGACTGTCGTGCTGGTATAAAACTGTTAACAAGTATCTGGTGCGGAAGAAGCGGTAAGGCTATCTATTAGAACATATTTTGCTGAAATAACTTTAGCTGTAATGCTAAAAATTGACGACCAACGTTTATTAACTTAATCGAATTTGAACTTTAGATTAATGCACACGATTATTAGACAAACCAAATAATGTAGGATTTTTTTTGTTTTTGCAGTGGGGCGTGTTTAAATGTTAGGTTTCACAGGTAACGTTACAAGCAATTTGAATATGTTGCGCTTCAGGGAATAATGATGGACATGTTTGTTTGTTTGTTTTCTGACATTTCTATTAATGAAAATGACTGCCAGACTTACTGCAGCCCTACAGTTCTCCTATGGAGGAGTAAAACTACCTTGTCTGGGTTTTTTTTGTGTGCATGTTACTTGGCACAGAAAAAAATTGAGTACTTTGATAAAAACTAACTTTACAAAAAAATGAGCTCAATATAAACTAAAGACCGATTCCCTCTTCAAGACAAGGGTCACAACTAGTATTCTACTTCAGTGATGCAAATTTCAAACATATTTGTGATTAATCAATTACACAAACCAAAACAGAATACTGAAAACCTGGGGCTTTTAGGGTTTCTGGGCATATAGATATAGATATACTTTTTAAAAAAGATTTTCAGAAGTCTTCCATCAATTGCTACATCCGTAAGCTCAATAATATCACTAATGCCTAGTTAAAGTTAGCAAAATGCAACTTTATTAAATTCTTATGGTTAGGTGGAAAATGTCAAGTACAGTACTTGAAAGCCTGATGCAGTAATCAAATTTAAAGGTCAGTAAGTACAGATATAACTTGTTTTATGTGGAGAAATACCTCACATATAACACAGTAGAAATGAATGGCTCTATATCTTAATCACTAATATTTTGTTTTTTCATTTGGCTGACTAGGATGAGGACTTTGTAGCACCCCAGGTTCCAGTAATTGCCCCAAAGAAATTATTTGGCACGTGTACAGTATCAGTGGAAAACCACCTAACTATGGGTCCCCTTACTACACCTAAAAAAGGAAGGGAAGTAGGCCGTGTTGATCCTTGGACGCCAACCTCCAACCTTAAAATGCTCATCAGTGCAGCTAGTCCTGACATCAGGAACCGAGAGAAGGAGCTATGCAGAGATGGTCTCGAATCTCTACAGGTAAAAAATTTATCATAGCATTAACGTGTGATAGATACTTTTGAATTAGTCACATTGTTCAAAGGAATGTTTTTATCTTATTGGTTGTACTCTGTCTTCTTCTTACAGGACACTGAGAATGGAGAAGAGTCAGAGAAAATGGTCAGCAGAAAAGAGAAGAGCCTGGGTTTGCTCTGTCACAAGTTCCTCGTCCGATACCCGGATTATCCAAACCCTGCCCTCAACAATGACATCTGCCTGGATGATGTGGCCACCGAGCTCAGTGGGGCTTCTTTATCAACTCCTTGTTGTCTCTTAGCCCAAAAAGTAGTTATACAATATCCATCCATCAAGATCCCAGTCAGTGTCAGATCTAGTATCTGACACTGACTGGGATCAGCTATTAGTTTCTTTCATTACCCTCAAACTTACATTTATATTTATCATGAAGTTTAAATAGAAGGTACCAGAGATCAACACAGTGACTTAAAATTTCTAATTTGTAAATAACTGATAATGGTATGACACAGAGCTAAGCAAATATTCACATTTGAGAAATTATTTTCTAGAAATTATTTGGTATTTTGACTTAACAAATAATTAAACAAGTTCAAAGTAACTGTAGAAGACAGCAAATGAGGCAAGTTATTAATCAAATTTTAATGTATATTTTGTTTAATAATAATCATAGTCACAATTGTGGTGTTGTAATAATTACAATGACTGTAATAGCTGGGACAATGCTGAACATAGTGTGTATCATTAATGCACACAATCTTGGAGTTCATCACTAATTTCAGTTTGTGATGGAACAAATACCAAAGGCCTCTCCATAAATGCTCAGATATTTTTCACATTAGTTGTAGTTGTGATAGTTGTGATTTCTGCTTTTTTTTTTTTTTTGTCATACACAGAGATATGTGAAAATTTGTGGCAAATATATGAAATATTTATGCTGCATAACTCATTGTAGTTGGCTCGAATTTCCCCTTTTTTGAAACTTGGCTCTGATGTGTCCCTTTTAACTGTGGTAGTAGTTGCTTCAATGTGTTTTCTTTTTGTCTGCGCAGATGTGGAGCGCAGACGCATCTACGACATCATGAATGTGCTTGAGAGCCTGCACATGGTGAGCCGCTCAGCAAAAAACCGCTACACATGGCACGGTCGGACCAAACTGGCTCAGACTCTGGCCATTTTGAAGAAGGTGGGCGAGGATCACCGCTACGGACAGCAGATGCAGCTGATCCGACAGCGTCTCCTGGACAAAGAGTTTGACTTTGACAGAGAAGAGAAGGAGAATGAGGAGGTGGTGGATGTGGAGAGTGGTGAACAGGGACAGAAAGAGCTCTTCTTTGTTGAACTTCCAGGTGTAGAGTTCAAAGCAGGTGAGAAACTGGAGAGTTGTAATATTTTAGACCTACCTCTTCTAAGTAGTCGCATATTGATCAGAACATGGAACATGAAGTTTTAACTATTACATCGTTTGAATTGGTTGATTGTGATTATTCACATCTTTCCTTGGGCAAAAAAAAATCATGAATGAAGAGTGTTGAAGAAATGAATTGCTGTTTCCTTTCAACTTGTTTTATTAAATAATGTTTAATTGCAATACAAACCTAAAGTTGACACATATCATAGTTCAGGAAATTATATATGGCACCATTTTAGCATCTTTTTGAAATCCCACTTCCTCACAGCACTAAGAGGAAGCATAGCAAAGTCATTCAGGCTCCAAAGCAGTTATTTGTTCCGGTTTGCTGTCACATGAACATTTATAGGAACAACAATTCCTCTCATTTTTTGTTGTCGCCCTGTCTCGTCATTTTGCTGCTGACGCTCAACATTTTTGTGGCGGTGTTGAAAATGACTCCTGCTTGTGCTGCTAGAACCTTGTAAAGAACTGTAGTTTCATCCAACACAGTGAGCACTCAACTTGGTTGTCCAGTTGAGTAAAATAACCTACAATGTGTTTGTTTGCTTTTCTGAATCTACTGACGCATCTCCCATCTGCTTTCCATGGAAACTGTACCACATGGGCAGAGGTGTCAAATGTTAGTTCTGCTTATTAAATGTCTCCAGACAGAAATAGTGTCATACACCTTATTTCCGCATCTTTAAGATGTAAAAAAAATAAAGGTCTCCAAAAATGATTCGATTTTTTTTTTTCTCAATATCTGACATTGACCTTGTTGAGTAATCAAATAATCTATTATTCATGTACATCACTAATCTCCACTCTCAAGCCTCTTCTCCCTGTTTACCCAGAGGTGGGAGAGTTGCCCCAAATTAACTACCTGTGGTGGTGGAATAAAGGAAGGTCAACGTGTCTGCTTAACACCTTTTTATACAGAGCATTGTGTTGGGAAATTGGTCCAATAATCCTGCATCAAACGGGCAGTGTAAAATGGCTTTTGTGAAACAGTTCCTTGTTATCCTGTGAAAGTCCCTCAACTTGATAGGAACATGCAATTTTAGCATTTCATATCAATAAAAAAAATTTCCACTTCTTTACCTTTTAGCCTCTGTGAATAGTCGGAAGGACAAATCTCTGCGGGTGATGAGCCAGAAGTTTGTCATGCTCTTTCTAGTGTCTAATCCTCGTGTGGTCAGTCTGGATGTGGCCGCCAAGATCCTAATCGGAGAGGACCAGGCTGCAGATCAAGACAAGAACAAGTTCAAGAGTGAGTACAGTGACGGGGAAATGCTACACACAGTTGCAGTGGAATGTGTTCTTTCATCACAATATGTTCTGTGCCGCTCTGTTGGCAGTAGATCATCTAGCTGTTTGCTTGTGTTTTCAGCAAAAGTGCGCAGGCTTTATGATATAGCTAATGTTCTGCGGAGCCTGAAGCTAATTGAGAAAGTCCATGTGACAGAGGAGAGGGGAAGGAAACCTGCCTTTGAATGGGTGGGCCCTGAAGAGTACCCACAAGACAAAGGTATCGCCATATTTCTTTTCCCGTTTAGCTATTGTTGATGTTTTGATCCACAGTTAGAAGGAATTTTGGGCTAACCATCAAATTCATATAGCCTTCTTGAATGACTCCGATGTTCTACAAACTGTTTTATAAGCTGAGGTACAGTATATTTCAGGACCTTGAATTTCACCTCACTGATTGCTGTGCTGCAGATGGTGTGTAATGTTGTCTCCTAGTTTCACAGACTAAACATTAAACAGACTAAACTCTCATTTCAGATTTGGAAAGCTCCACAACTGAATGCCCATCCAAGACGAAAGGTGTACTGGAGTCTCGTGCATCTGTAGAGAACTGTGCCAAAAAGCTTTTTTCATCACACAGGGCTAAACACAGTTTCACCCGGCACCCCTCCCTCATAAAGCTGGCAAAAAGCATTCAGGACGACCGCCGCAAGATCAACTCCGCCCCCAGCAGTCCTGTCAAGAGGTCCCTCAGTAAGTATAGAAATGTATTAATTAATTAATTAATTTTTTTTAGGCAATGTTACCGTTGTAACATAAGTTTATGAATGGTGCAGTGACACTTGTAACCAGTTTTTTTTTTCTCTTGTGTTTTCAGGTGATTCATCAAACACTGACTTCCCGAACAAAATGGCCCAACTTGCTGCTATTTGTAAAATTGAACTTGACCAGGAATCAGTGTAAGTTTGGTTTCATTTACACTGTGATTCAGCCTAAACTGCTTTGGGTTCTTCAAGTGAAATTGGGCATGTTTGTCCATTAGTGAAGTTAATGACACGGTCTAAATGCTTCAGTTTACTTTAATTGAACGGTGGCTAAACTCTGCCAGGTTTTGTTGATGAAGCCTCCCGAGAATTGATGTGTCACATAAGTGACTCTTATGGTTGTTATGTAATTGCCTTGTTTAACAGTGAGACTGCAGAGTCTCTATGAACAGTGGCGATGAAAAATTAACAATCAACGGCCATCTTTCATAATATTGTGTCCAACACAGGTTGACTGTGTTACTCTACATATTGCTTTCAAGAGCATCACAACTTGCCGTTAGCCAGGAAATAACTCTATTTCTTTTCATTTTCCTTGTTCAACCACGCAGTTCTGAGGAAACAGGATTAACGGTCACCAAAATTAACCACATAATGAATTGGCCGTGACAGTTTTACAACCTGAGTTCTTTGTCATAAGACATCTGACAAAAACTAACAGTTATTTAATTTAGTTTGCTCAAGAATAGGACCGGGGCCATGCTAAAGGTTCAGGTTCCCAGCCTTAGGTTTTATAATAAGGTTTCAGATCTCTGGTGGTAAATGAGCATCATACGTATGTTCCAGGACTGGAGCTGAAGATCCAAAGTCTGCTGCTGCTGAGGTGGATGTAGCTGCTGTGAGGCGAGAGCCAACCTTTTGTAGTGCAATGGAACTGCCTCAGACACCGCTGCTAACTCCAACCCAGGAGCCTGGAGTCAACGCTACTGTCCACCTCACCCCCCACACCCCGCTGGAAGCTCAGCCCTCTGGCTCTGTTGCTTATATTTCTGCACGGTGTTCACCTCTGATCCCTGTCTTGTTACCTCAGCAGCGGGGGAGCGGACCCTATGCTGTCTATTTGCAGCCCTCTTCCTTTAGGCCAAACCCTCTGGCCAGGCCGCAGCCAACCAGCCTCGCTGTGCGGTCGATGACCTTTGAGGATAAGACTGGGCAGAGCCCGACGGGCCAGTTGGTCTCAAGAGCATCAGACATCAGCCCCTTGCCGTTTAAACGACTGTGTTCAGATTCAACCTCAGAGAGCAGCCCATCCAAAGCCATGAAGACCGACCCCGACCTAAAGGTAAAAAAATTATAATTAAAGACAGGTGTAAAGGTAAGAAAGCACAGAAGAGAAACATAGATGCAGTAGAAATAGAACTTACCACAGCAATGATGAACCAAACATGAGATTGATATGACCAAGAGAGGCTAGTTTTCCATGTTGCTCAGGGGCCAAGATTTCTTTTTGTTTTCAGAGAACAGTTTGAGAACAACTGTTTACTGTCTCAGTGCAGCTTAATGCATAAAAAATGGTTCAGTTAAAACTAGCTGCAGATAAATTACAACAACTTTAAAAGGTATGTGGTTTTTCATAAATGAACAGGTGTTTAAAATACAAAATCGTTTTTAAAAACCTGCTATCTTATTGTTTCTAACATGCACTATTTCCCACCCTCTTTCTGTTGCCCTCACGTAGGACACGTCTCCAAAGCTGTGTGAGATTCTACAGGCCCGGCTGAAGGCCCGTCGTGGCAGTCTCCTCTCCAGCCGGCCATCGCCACGTGCCCTACACCTGGACCCAGAGTTTGTCAACACCCCCGGCGGTGCTGTAGCTAGTCAGACACTAGCCCAGAGCTTGGAGACCTTCCTGGACGTAGAGGAAAAGACCGTGAACTCTGACAATGAAGTGAGATTAACACCAGTCAGAGCTGTACCCCACATACCAACACAACTTCACACTGAGGTAAATGCACAAACGCGCTGCTTGCTGTGCTTCAGTGAACACCACTAAGACTGTATGTGTGACGTGTATTTCTCTGTTCATCCAGACTTTAGTTCCAGCTGGATACCTGATCCCAATCTCCCAGCAGTCCCTCATCAGCTGCAAGGAAACTCAAGGCTCAGGCAGAGAAAGCAACAAGGCCTCAACACCCACTTACAACATATACCACACACCAACTGCAGGTAAATATGTCATTAAATGCGATTAAAATGTTGATTACAGGTGTCAGGTGGCACCTAGATTGTGTCTTTTTGTTTTAACAGTTGTGGAAATGTGTACTTTATTATATTCAACTGTTTGACACATTCCTGATTTAAAATAATCACTTTCATTTACTTTTTGTTTTATGAACCAAAACCCAAATGTATTCAGTTTTTAATTATATGAAACAGAGAAAAATGACATTCTTCTTGAGCCAGAGAATGTATGGCACTTGCTTGGTAATGCCTTATTTAATAACCCCAAATTAACTTCTAAAAACTGTAGGTTAAGAGTAAGGCTCTGCACAACTGAATAACTACATCTAGTGAAGAGATCAGACCTTGTGGGTTTTTTTTTTTTTTTTGTTCTCATCAAGGCTCCAGATTGGCCGTAGCCCAGGAGGTTACACCCACTAGCCTTCGTCTTCACAGACCCTCTGCAGCCGCCTCGCCATGCACCACCCAGCAGGCTCAGCACCTCCTGAACCCCAGTCCTGCCATCCTTAACTTCACTCTGCAGAACCTTGGTCTGATCTCAAGCTCTAGTCCAGGAAATGCTTTTGCTGCCCCCCAAACTCCAGAGCGCACAAACACCCTGCCCAGTCCGCTGGCCCTGCATCAGAGAGGGGCGGTTTTCATGAAACCTGTCTCCCCTGTGCAGTCTGTATCTGCACAACCAGTGACCCTGATCACTATACCGCAGGTAAAATTAAAATCTTTAAATTTATTAACATTAATTTCACAGTTTTTTTACTTTGTTAATTAAACTGGACACGGCACTGCTTTGACAAATGTGTTTTACCAGCCACAGGGAGTATCTCTCAGCATGTACAAACAATAGTAGGATGTCTTCTAAAGCTTGATTTGTGGTTCTGTGTTGAATCGACACAGAGCCTACACTGTAAGCTATGCTAGTGGCCTACATCGTTGTCAGCATTTATACTTCTGCATCGCTCTACAATTACACCACCAAAATGCTAGTTGGCGGTGGGGTTAGGGCTGACCAATAAATTGTATTTTCATCATCATCGCTATTTGAATATGTGCAATAAACATCACAAAAGACTGCTTGAAACGCGATAAATAAGAAAAATTATTTCATTTACATACGCCACAGTGTTTAACATATATTGATTTATATGTGCCCGTGGCCCGGGACAAGTAAGTCAATGTATAGGAAACACTGGAAGTCATGCCGTCAGCGGGCTACATGGGGGCTGTTTCTTTGGGAGCCGCAGTTCATTGAAGTGATGTCTGGAGATGATCCAGAGTTACTGGGACATTGTTTCTGGAAAGTCACGTTGCTTTTGACTGTTCTTTGTATTGAATTAAATTTCTTGGTCGGGTAGAGCCCTAGGGAATATCAGCAGTGTGACTAACTGAACGCTGTCTGTTGTCCAGACTCTCATGACCACACCCAAGGGAACTGGGCTCTCCCAGCACAGCTTCTTCCACACGCCGGTCCCCCTCTCTCCTCTGGCTGCCGTGGTAACCACCGGTGGAAGCACTGCTATCAAAACTGTTTACATCCCTCAGAGAAAACTGGACGTTGCCACAGAGGACTCCTGAAGGAAACATCTGAGGACGTGATGTCTGTATGGGTGCTGCGTACATGTTGTGGGTGTTTGGGTTTTTATGTTGTTGTTTTTTGTTTGTTTGTTTTTCTGTTTAGCATTTTACACTATACCTTTTAACATTTGGCATTAGCCTCACTCCCTCCATTCTTAGCACAACCAGTTGTAAAAATAGCTGCCACACAGACTTTGACTGTGGCCCAGTGGACACCAGAAAAGTAATTTCACACTGAATTTGCCAAACTCATTAATTTCACCATGGTAGGAACAGTTTCCCAAGGATTCAGTTTGTATAACCTAATGGAGAAGAGTTAATTTTGTTTTGTTGTTATTAATGCGGGCAATGTGAACAACATTTTATTTCTTTCAAATTACCCAGAGTAGTAAAAGTCACTTTTCTGTAAGGAACAATACACCGATGTGAATATTTGTAATACATTTTAAGACAAATCAGACATTTTGACGAGTTTAATTTATAAGAAACTACCTTCATATCTAATGTCCTGTTAAATGTAAAATGCTAAATAAATGTTTATCGTTTTTCTAAGAACATCAAATCAATTAAGATTTTCTTCGGGTCTACAGTGACACATCTTCACAAGCGCTGAATGGCTCACATTGGAACTGGCAATATTTGGTTTTCATGATCTACTAATGATTTATGCTCTTTAAAATGCCTGTCACAGATTCCCACAACCTGAGGTGATATCTTTAAATAGCTTCTTTTGTGTAACCAATGTGTAAAATCCAAAAGTAATGGCTGCACAAGAATGTAAACTTGAAAAGCAGAAAATTCTCACACTCTGCTAAATATTCCATTTTTCATTTTTCCTTGACAAATGACTGAAACGAGGCCTTGATTATCAAAACTGTTAAATTTTCTGTTGATTGATTAGCTCATCATTTTTCATGGTCTCCTGAGGATGAATCCAAGTGACTACTCATTTTTCATTCAGCACCACCAGATGGTCAGTGTTCTACACTTTACCTCAGCAATCTTAGTCATAAAGTTGTCTAAAATCACTTTTACATTTAAAATGTAAATGAACTAATCACAACCTTAATAACATGTCAAATAGCGGTTAACAAAACTGCATATAGTTGCCTTTAAGTGGGGTGTGAGATATCTGTCCCAGAGCTAATTATGTCCCACTCATAATTAAAAAAAAAAGGTAGTTTTTATCTGACTGAATTCCCAACTTATTTCACTTCATTCTATTTGAATCTGAACGCATCGATGATATGGGTGCTTCATGGATCTGGAGTGTGACAAGGTCACTGCTGTAGCTCAGCCATGTGTTCTTATTCAGTTGTCATTTTCCCTTGTGTTCCCATAATTTATGTACATGTCGATGGCTCCCTGCGCACAGCTGTCAGCAAGGGTTGTCTGATGGTTCAAGTTTCCTGTTTGTGCCAGTTCAGAACAAATGCTTGACAGGCCTCTTGCAGCCTGTCACGAAGGGTCAGAGGACTCCGCTCTGTCATAGGTTATTTTAGGTGGATAGATTCACTGAACAGTCACTGGGGGACTGTGGTGATGGCGAGGTGGATGGTATTTAAGGCGCCCAGGAGTGTTTAACACCACATTAGGAGCACATCACACAGGCTCTGGTTCAAGGTAAGGACTTGTTTTCTTTGTATCACAGATTCCAGTTGAATTTAGTGGTATATTACACCACAACTGCATTGTCTTTATGATTAGGTTCTTATTTAGATTTATACAGGGGAATTACATTTTCTTATGAGCTTGTTTAATAATGAATATAAATATGAGTAGTAAGTACAGATGCACTGATTGCAAGTTTCTAGGCTGATTCTGATTTCCTACACCTTTAACGGGTAGCCAGTCTCATTGTGTACTGTTTGTCAGAGATTTGGACGTAGTTTTCCTTCTTCAAAGTGTTTCTGTGGGCTCCTCTGTGTGCTGTTTGTACACAAAGTGCTTCCAAACCACTAGTGAACACGCACCTGGTACTGACATGAGTATAACCCTATGCTACTGGTCTGTGCCACAGCGCATGTGACAGGGACTCTGGTGCCTCGATGTCTGATTGGCACAAAACTGGTCATTTTCTATCTCTATCTCCACAGATGGGTCAGTGTATCTATAGTAGTAAAACATTTCCAGTAGTGGCTGATGGAGAGGCTGCTTAGCCTTTGTCTAGTGTGTTGAAGTTTCTATTCCCAGAATACCACATACCAGTCCTGTGAGGTGATGGGCAGCCTCTGATACGAGTCAAAACCGGCATGTCCGTCAGAAGGCCAGGCAGGGCCCTCCCACTTCCTCAGGCTTTTAGTGAAGTCAAATATGATGAGTGAAAGTGAGATGAAAATCATTACAACTGAATGACGGGGAAATCTGAGCAACTTCATGTGAAAGTTTGTTTCATTCAATAGATACAGGAATTTAAGCATCAGACGGCACCATTATCTAGACTGGGCTTAAATTAGGGACAATATGTGAATTCAGCGTATATCTAGAAAAGGACATAAAAGTATACAGAACACATTTCTGTAAAATAGGATTTAGTGATTTATAGAGTAAATCAGAGTCAAGTGTATCTGTCAGCACAGTTACACTGAATGACTTGGATCTAGCAGCAAACATCCTAACATGACATTTCTAAAATGTTCCATGTTGTTACACACACACACACACACACACACACACACACACACACACACACACACACACACACACATATTACTGAACAGCTTTATAACCTACAGTATGAAGTTAAAATACCACTTTACTTGTCTGCAAAGGAGTTCCCTATAAATGAACATTTGGACAGTTTTAAGATATCAAAGTAAAATATAGCTGAATGACTAGTTGATTTGAAAGTAATCAGCAACTTTTTCCGGCTCCTGTTATTATAGTTTATGCCCTTGTAAATTGTTTTTTTGATAATGGAATTATGTTCAAACAAAGTAACTTTATGATATGTTGTGCTGTGGGAAATTGATTTTATGTTTACTGATAATCTCAATCACTTCAATGACAAAATGAATAGTTGCAGCTCTGTATTAGAGCAGGGGAAATGTTATGGGTGTCGGGTTTGACATTTACCAGAGCCAGTAATCAATAGATTGATTTAAAAGGTATGTAATGAGTTGCTGTTCTGTTTTATTTATTTAAATTTTTTGTTTCTCAAAGATGCCAAACTGGGGAGGAGGTACCAAGTGTGCAGCCTGTGAGAAGACTGTGTACCATGCAGAGGAGATTCAGTGTAATGGCAGGAGTTTCCATAAGACCTGTTTCCTCTGCAGTGAGTGACTGGTTCTTTCTTGTCCTTACTAGTCCAGCAAATAGTGTCATGGTTGATCAGCAGAACCACGCAGTTCTGCGACATACAGATAGATATTTAACACTTCAGGACAGCTTCCTTGGTCCCTCTGTGTTGCTCATTTGAGCTCATCTGCTGCCTTGTTGACACATTTGGCCACCATCTACATGATAGTTGTCTCTGTTCTGATATTCTTTTCATTGTTTGTAGGAAAGAAACCATCTGTGTGGTTTTATTTTGATACTTTTCTCTTAATTTCATCTTTCTTCATTTTTTCTGCCTCATTTTCCTCGTCTTTTCTTATTCTGTCCTTTCTTGTTAGTTTTTTCTTTTTGCTCAGATTTCCCTATATTTTCCCCCATGTTATTGTTTCTTGCCTCCTTCCATCTATTCCTTCTTGCTTTCTTTTTCCTCTTTCCTCGTTTTCTTGCATCCATTGTATCTAGATTTTGTTTTTCGTGCCTTAATTCTTTTCCTTATTTCTCAAGTTTCTTTTACTGCTCCCAGTCTTCGTCCTTCTCCAAGGCTCTTTTATTTAGTTAGTTAACAGTTTATAAAGCACTGATCATGTTCTCCCAACAGCCACCTACTTTATTTCCATAAAATGCCCTTTTATAGTGGTTGAATAGTTGCTCTATGGATTGGACAGCCCGGCTGGGTTTCCTCTCCTCTGGATGTCCTGACCTGAATTTCAGTTGTTGTCCTGTTAATACAGCCAGGGTTTCTGAACCATAACCAGATCTAATCCAGGGACACAAAGCTACACGAGAACAAAGATGGCAGACACCTCATATTGGTTTACTGTTCTCACACATAAACATGCTCCAGTTGGTTGGATATCAGCCTGTGTGACTGCTGGATTGTTCCACTGGGAGCTGTAAGAGGCCTCTGTGATAAGCTCATCCATCTAAGTGTTCATCTTTTCTAGAACATTCACCTCACACTCTCCTCTTGTTCTCTAAATAGAAACACAAGACATCTATGTGTAATGCCACTGCTGACTGATAAAACTAGCTAGGTGGGAGAGCTTTATTTAGTCTCTGAAATCTCCACCATGACACTCCTCAGAGTTTGGGCAAACTATTTCACCCACCCGAATAGCCATACAGTAACAGGTTTAACTGTGTTTATTTATTTTGCAGTGAGCTGCAGAAAAGCGCTGGACAGCACCACAGTCGCAGCACATGAATCAGAGATTTACTGCAAGTCCTGCTATGGCAAGAAATATGGGCCAAAGGGCTACGGATACGGGCAAGGAGCTGGAGCTCTGAGCTCTGATCCCCCTGGACAGAACATAGTCCAGCACCCTGCCGAGTACGTGTTCACACAGCAGTAGAGGTTCAGTCCTGGGCTTTCTTTAGGTTCATGAAACACCTTCATCATAGCCCTTATTTTTTGGTAACTTATACTTGAATCTCATCTTTCACCAGTATGATGAAGGCTCCCCCCCCCCCGACTACAGATCTCATCTTGCACCAGTATGATGAAGGCCCCCCCCCCCCCCGACTACAGCTTGAGAAAAAGCTAGTTTTTACATTAATAGGAAAAAATAGAGAATGTGTGTTATCAAGTGTTTTTTTTTTTTTTCTAGTTCTAAACCAAGACCACCTTCAACAAACCCCAGCCCAAACAAATCTGCCCAGAAGTTCGGAAGTTCAGACCGCTGTCCTCGTTGCTCCAAAGCTGTCTATGCAGCAGAGAAGGTGATGGGAGCAGGAAAGGTGAGGACCATGCAGCTGGAACATGGATGTGTTGCTTTGGGATTTCTCACTGGTTTTGATGAATATCATTTCTTTATTTTACTATTTATTCCAGCACATTTCTGTATATACCCTTCTCCAGTTCAGAGCTGGTTCAGTTTGTTTTCCTGGTGCTCCAGCAGACTGGCAGCAGTCTTAATCCTGAACTCTTAAGCTACATCAAATCTTCTCAAACAGGACATTTTCCTTAAAAGTTTTCCTACAGCAAACAAGGTGGTTACATACAATCTAATACTGTAGAATTCATACAGTACATATGATTGTAGGGTATGAAAATACTAAAACTATGGTCACATTTCAGTGATAGGGGTCAGTGGAAAGCTGAGGACATTGAGCGATTTGACTGTTGAACAAATGACATTGCGGCTCACATTTCAGTTAATCTTGTGCACACAAAAGGTCCTCAGTGGTGACCACACAAAGAGCTGGATACGTCACTTATAAACTGAAACAACACAAAAAGATAGGATCTAACAATCTGTATTAAGTGTTAAGGCATGTAATGTGAACACAGTCTGACTGTAAGCAGATAGTTTAAAAGCTAGTTATTGAATCTTTATTGATATTAAAAAGCAGCCTCTTTGTGTGTTTAGCCCTGGCATAAAACCTGTTTCCGCTGTGCTATGTGTGGTAAAAGCCTGGAGTCAACCACAGTGACAGACAAGGATGGAGAGCTGTACTGTAAAGGTAAGCACACAGACATGAATTTTTGTTTCCATTCCTCCTGGGTAACTTTACATAGACATACATTCATTTCCGGTAGACTTAATTACGAACTTTACATAGACATACATTCATTTCCTGGAGACTTAACCACAGCCCTATTTGCCTAACCCTCACTTTAAACTGTCAAAATTCACTGAAATTCACTGCCTGACATGGTGAGGACCATCATCTGGTCCCCACAATGTGAGTGTGTAAACGTGTTTGTCCCCAGAAATGAGAGTCCTATCAGGTGCACAGAGACACATACAGAGACCACATTAGAAAATCAGATGAGAAAATGCTGTTTATTTTTACCTCAGTATTGTTGTCTCATTTTCTCTTCAGTTTGCTATGCCAAAAACTTTGGCCCAAAAGGATTTGGACTGGGGAACGCTGCCATGTTGGAGGAACGACCGTGAACATGCCAGGTAAAAAAAAAAAAAAAAAAAACCTAACATTTACTGTGTTACATTGTGTAACTGAACTACTATCTTCCTTTTACAACAGAACAGTTTTGTAAATGTTGTGTAATACCAACTGGCTCTCTGGAAATCCAGCATAAAAACTTCTCGATACTTTGAAGTGTATCACGAAATGAGTTTAAGAAATGTAATGTTTCTATAAATAAAGGGAAAACTGAACTAAATACAACCTTAGCTCCATTAGTTTATTTTACATCTTTAGTAGAGTAAAGAGCTGAACTACATACAATTAGAACAAACCAGTGTTTTGCTTGTACTGCTTATTATATCTGATTAGAGCTACAAAGTGTCACGCCCAACCCTGTTTTCCACCACTGTTACCTTCAGCTGTGAGAAAACAATTAGCAGTCTCATCTCATTAGAGTTAATTATTAATAGAATACTATTTGCATTCATAAATAATTCTGTGCAATAACTGTGTTAATTAGAATAATCAAGGCAGCGAGTGATTACCAAGTGGGACGTGTTAATTTGCCCCAGTTAGGTGTGAGCAGCTGTGCAGAGCAGGACAGGATTCAATGTTTTTGTCAAACAATTTGTTATTTCGCACTATTAATTTAGAGTAAAAACACCAAGAAAATCATTTGCTCAGTAAAAGTGGCTCCAAAACAAGATTTGATAATTACAAATTGTCCCATTCACCAACTGTTCTTAAGGAAAATTTGTTCGTAAAACTCATTTACGAAGCTTTCACAAAGATTCTTCACCAATGTCTTCTTACCTGGGATTTGTTCTTGGGTAAGAACAGACTCTCTGCACACTCAAAAACACGTTTAAGCGTATTTGAACGCAGACACACTGGCCTCAAGCAGTCAAAAGATCCAGGGGGATCCGGCATTGATCAGCTGATCATTCACAGGCTGGGTTTCACAGACTGGCTGCTTGTAGGTTAGACCCGGTCAGGTAAACAGTGAGTCCCTGTACAGGAACATTCCTGGACATGCAGTAACCTCAGGCCCTGTATTTTTCTCCACATCATCTGGTCACAGTGTAGCAGGAGGTAAAATATATCCACAAAAGTGCGCTCAATCGAAAAATTCCACTTTTAAAATGGCATTGTGGATGTCAGGCAAGCCCTCATCTGGTCACAGTGTACTGGAGATTATGTGCAACTGCCTGGAGATTATGTCCATTCAAGGAAATCCTTAAAGTATAATACTTTATTTTGTTAGCGAGTTTGCTAGATGTGTATAAACCAAGTTGCTTCTGCATAAAACTACTAGAACATACGTACACCTCTTTTTTTTTTAGCTTTAGGTCTAAGATGATGATTCACTGTTACAATAGCTGGTTAAAAAGACAGGCACAACATAGCTTTATTGAAGTAATATAGTGGTCATTTCATTAATGAACACATGCAACTCTTACAAAAGTCATAAAACCTTTTTTTTTTTTTTTTACAAATACAAAGATCCTTTTTTTCCAGACCAGATAAAAAATATGCTTAATATGTTCATAAAAAACAGCTCAAAACTTCAATTATAACTTGGGCCTTTAAATGTTTAGTAAGCCTTACCCAAATTAAAACATTATGATTTTCATTTCACTTGCACTGGTCAAGTATAAGGCAGCAGTATTCTATACAAAAAAACAACTGAATCCAACAGTATCTACACACTGCTTTGTTTTCCCACATTCTATAATCACAGAGATGGAGCACATTTATGCCCAGCCCACACGGTGGTGGGGGTTCATCTTGCTCCAGTGACTGGAGTGAAAGTGTCTGGGTTCTTTACAAACAACAGAAATAAGCCTAAATGCTGCTGTGGCAGGATGCACAACAAGGTAAATAATCCAGAAAAAGAGAACCTTTAAGAGGATAAATGTGAGGCATTAGCAGTGTGTTATAAATCAGAAAGCTATGCAGTGACATGTTGGCAAGTGACTTAGCTAACTACAGTAGCTTACTAGCATTCTAAGAGGTAACTTGGCCAATCATCATTTCAGTTACCAACTACACCCCAACTTCCCTCTAGGCCAGGGTCTATTTTGGAAGTAAATAAACTGTAACACTAATTTTCTTCCCTCATGCTATGTGTTAGCAAGCTACTGTAGTTAGCTAATGCACTTGCAAACATACTAAGCCACACACCTAAACATTGTGTGAGGATTCCCGTTTCCCCATTCTTCCTGCTAATGCCTCACAGCTTATCCAGTTTTGTCTTCTTAAACATCTTTGTGTTTTTTGTTCGTCAGCTTTCACTCTGGGTTCTTTGCTTTGTTGGCAGTGCATCCTACCACACAACTGCTTTTTAAGCATTTTCAGATTTTGTAAAAAGACAAAATTGTCAAAGAGGTGCCTTCACGCAACAGAGTCAAAGTTGTTTCCACCCCAGTGGCCGTGGTTTTCAGAGTATGGTCATTTGTGCTGTCTTTACGGTCTCTTCACAACGAGCCAACACATAAAAAAATAAATAAATAGAATCTGTGCTTTTGGTCCACAACCACTGTGAAAATCTGACCTTTGACCCTGAGGGAGGGGGGTGTGTGTTGATCAGACCAGGTCTGTGTGTCCGAACACGTGCTGGTCGCGGCCGGGCGGGACCTGCTGTGTCCAATCAATGATGGCTGGTTTGAAAAGGCCACAACAACGTAGTTGGAAGAAGGACACTAGGTTTCGCACCACACCCAAACTGCAGGGAGACGAGACAATCAGAGGATCATCACATGATGTTCAGTCAGTTGATTAAAAACTGCACTTGTACGTCTTGGACAGTGTTGGCCATTGCCACTGTTTCTTACTTTCTAAAATTTGTACTCTTAAATTGCTTTTGTGTCTGGATGAACTGGCTGTGTACTTCACTTGCCCCAGATCACTCAGTGAGGAACAAATCAAGCACTGCACTGATTTACATTGAACTGAGTTTGAGAGATGCATTAACACAGTGTTTCCACTATGTACATTTTGCAGAGGCGCTTGCTACTGCTTCGGAATTTCACACAATATAAGGTTGTAATTACAAGACTGCATAGGGCTTAATTTGAAATGACAAATATAGGAAGGAAAGACTGGACCACATTATATTCAGAGCTGCTCCTAATATTCTGACCCTCTCATGTATGCAGCTGGTGAGGACAAAAATATAGAGACATCTTTGAATATAATGTAGTCCAGTAAAACACCACCTTTAACTACGGCCTCAATAATAAACATAACTGAATAACTGTATACATTTATGACAATTTCATCAATAACTGAAGCATTGTGAGCATCATAAACGTGAATGTTAAGGTGGAAGCGTTGCACTGAATTGCATACAATTGTAGAGGTGTACGTATTAGAGAGGGGTGAGCGTATGCCACCAAGTGCAGTGGTGTTTCTGGAAAACAGTGGAGGCCTATGGCACAGAGAAATGATCAAACCAGGGTCTGGATTCACACGTGAGTACATGAAATTTATTGCTTGTGTTAGTCTCTGTATTGGATTATAGAAAATAACCACACAAAAAAAAATCAAAATAAACAGAAAATCAGCAGTCTTATCCTTTAGGTATTGATTTAAAAATAGAAGAAACAAAGAATACCCGGTGCAAACAATGTTTCCACCCCAACAAAAACTTGGCGAGGCTGAAACCAACTGGCATTTTGTACTGAGATGCCAGATTAAATAAAGGCTTTAAAACATACTGCTTGCTCTATCTAAGAGTGCCTAAAGGTTTTCTGGACCTGGTGGAAGCTTTGGACTGCGAGCACAAGACTTTTTCCTCTCTTTTGCACCGATTTAAAATGGTTTAGAAGCTGAAATTAAAGTCATGGCAATACTGAATGGCACTAAAATGTGTAGGTCTGAGAAATTTTTTTACTTTTGTTTTAAAGAATTAAGAGGCAAAGCACTTTGTAGTCAAGTGACAATTTGGACAGCGATTACAATAATAAAAAAGGTTAAGAAATAGTTATGCAAATATCCTCTTGTAATACAGTAAATAATACCAGCACTAATATCCAACTCACTTGTATGGATTCTGTCTCAGAGAGACGGGCTGTCGGAGTTTCCTCTGGTGAAAAGTCAGGCTCGTCCGCTCTGCTGTGGTCAGTCCCAGGAAGGCGATCTGCTCCGACCCAAAGGAAACATCAATCACCACAAAGATAGAGGAGACACTTGTATATGAACATTGATCAGGGGTCTGCCCTTAAAATGTGGTTTAACTCATTCAGGCTGGTTTTAGAGGCTGAGAACACCAATCATAGCATCACTGGGAGCCACAGAAACCTGTTAACCAACTGCACACAGCCAGTCACCTGGTAGAGCTGCAGCAGAAGCATTAAGCCGGACCAGCAGGTGTGGTAAAAGGCCAAAAAGAAGATGCTGAGCAGCCAGGGAGAGCAGCCGACCAGAGCAGAAACCATATCCCACAGGTTCTGCTCCTCATAATGCAACACACAGTGAGTCGACCAGTCTGAAAGAACATACACGGCACAGTTTATCCAGTGTAAATGTAGAACTGTGTCACATACTGTGATTGAGCTGTGTTCGTTTACTCACACATGAGACAACCATAGAACATCCATGCTCCCAATAGCATGAGGGAGAGCAGAAAGAGAACGAAGTAGTGATGGTTCCTTGCACCTGGAAGGCAGCAAAGGTTGTCATGAGTCTTTAATTTACCCAAAAGAGAGTGGACCTCTGACCAAGCTGATCCTTAATAAATGCTGTCTACTACAATAACTTGTCCCATCCTAATTTAGTCAACTGTACATGTAACATAAATACTTACAACTGCAGTAACAGATTCTTAGTTGTAATACAATATATTAAATACAGTATATAAAGGGATGAATAAATTCATCATTAAAAAGTTAAAAATGTCAGCTTTGTTACAGCCCTGATTTGTTGTAATTGCCAGTGAATGCATATCAGTGATTTACTCATGTGAGAGTATATGACATGCTGCCACTTCTCTTGTCCAAATTTTATAATCATGTATGTATGTATGTGTAAAAGAAAAGTACCTGCTTCATCAGAATATAAAACAAGACTTCTCATCACACCCCCCAGGTGTTTAAAGTTGTCTTTGTTAGCTAAGTTAGCAAGATCTTTTTAAAATACAAGAAATGTTTTATTAAATCTGGTGGAATATTAGTTTGGAAAGGAACAAGTTCATTTGATTATTGAGGAGTAACATAGTCAATACAGGCCATTTCTGAACATTTTACTTAGTTTCTAATGAACTACAGAACCTAGATGAAAATTATGATGCTGATAAAAAATTTTCAGTAACTAAAATAACTAATTTCAAGGGTTGCTGTGCTCTCAAACTAGAAAGAAGTTTGACATATATCTTTTCTGGCAGTCACTATCACTCGTCCCTTGCTACCATCTGTCATACCGATGCAGCTGTTGGTCCAGATGGAATGGTGGTCCTGCTTCGCCACACAGGCATCACAGGTGAAGCAGTGGTTTGCTCTTGCTGGTTTCTTTATCTGTAAACAAAGCAATGCAAAACAGCAAGGTTATCACTGAGCATTAAAAGTAAAGTGGAGGGTTTTGTGTGCAGAATCTCACCATGCAAGAAGTGCAGAATATTCTGGGGTCCAGACAACCAGCTTCAGCCAGCACCAACACATTCTGACAATACCAAAACAAAACCTGTCCTTACAACATTTACATGTAAAGATAATAGTATATGGATTCTAACTGTTAATAGCCTTCCCACCATTTTCTTCTCCTCTTCAGTTGCCTTGACGAAGCCTGGGTCTGTCCTGCAGGTGCGGAGGTAGTAATAGAGCAGAGCAGTGGCATTCAGAGTGAACAGAACCTGGATTGTGGTGCTAGGTCTATGTGGGGTTTATGGTTAAGAAATTCTTTATCAGCTTGAGCAAAACATTAACCATTTCATCAAATTGAAGAAAACTCGGTTGCTAGGTTTACTGGCGCTTAAATCGCTACAAGTGCATTACAGCATAAGGTTTATTTATTTTTTCCCCATCTCAGATCTCTTGACCTATTAAACATTAAAGGAGCATCACTGATCTTTATTTTGCGATTTAAACCTCCTGTCACTTCCGCAAATGCTCATTTGACAAACCCCCTAGATGTAAGAGAAACACCCGTGCTACCATCAAATGAGCCCCGACTTGCAGGGAGCAACAACAGCTGTTTTCTAACTGTTTTAGGATGCTGTTTCCTTCAAAGAAAGGATATCTGGCAGTAACCAGAGGTACCAGGTGACGAGCATCCAGAAGACTGAAGCCATCAGTGCTGTAGCTGGTAGAAAAGACTGAAAGGCTGGACTTGGGCAATTCCTGTTTAGACACAAATGTTTCTTATTTAAATGACAACCAACCAGTTTTGTAAAACATGCAGATGAATACCTGAGCATGAAAGTGTGGCTTTTTCATTCACAATCAAGATCCTCACCTTGAGACCAGATTGATCACACCTATCAAGCAGACCAGCAGAATCCCTTTGAGCAACCAGGACTCTGAGTTCATATCAAGTATTGCACCCACACTTCCAAACATGGCAGTGTTGAGCAAAAACTGCAGAATGACCTGGAAAAGTGCAAACAGAGGAGGAGTCAAAAGCAACAATCTTTTTTCATGTGTGACCAGGGGTTTTAAATCTGTAATTTGTGACGTGGGTGCTCTGTGGCGTCTGTATACCCTGTATCTGTTGACAATCCGCAGACAGCGTGAGTTGGAGCGAATCCTCTCCTGTTTTATGTGATTGAGCATGTGGACGAGCAGCGGGCTATGTACCTGATGGGCCAAGTCGATGGGGGTATGACCCTGAACAACAAGTATTAAAAACAGCATGAAGACATGGACAATTTTTGATTCATTTCAAAATGTAATAACAAATGTTTATAATTGTGCCGTGTTTGAACACACCGTTCCACTGTGAGCAACTTAATTAATGGGTTGCTCTGTTGTCACACTGTATGCTCAGCCACCTACAGTTTTCATGAAAGCTAAATGTGGACTTAACTGCTGCAGCAATGTCAGTTCTCCACTGTTTACCTACAAACTGCTAATTCTAGATCTGCTCAATTATTATGGAGGTCACAGTTAAAGGTGGTGGTGTACTGGATTACATTATACTTATTTTAAATGTTTTAACTACTAGAAACTCGTACTTCACTACAACATCCATCTCCAGTGTGCATGTGCTGGAGACTTCAAGTTTCCTCAGCACACTCATTTAAAATGCATTCTGAAGCACAAGTGGCACTGATTGTGATATACGTTTGCTATAATGTGGCCAATAGCAACTTAAGCAGATTAATTTAAAAATATCCTTCTCATGCCAAACTCTCCACATACATCATCACTGTGCACAAGTAAAAAAAAAAAAAAAAACTTTTGAGGGAAAATAAGACTCCAGTAAATTTAAATAAAAGTATCATACAAGTAAAAACCTAAGAATCCTTCTATCTCTTCAAAGTGCATCATGGTTTCTTTGTTGATGCCAGAGGGTCAAAAAGTCCAGAGCCATCAATTTCTTCACAGATTTCTGATGGGTCCAGATTTTCTTTGGTCATTTAGCACTGGGAGAAATAAGTTGATCTCTAGTGGTATGTGTTACTCAGTCTGCCACCAGACTGTACATGCACACTCACACATACACACACACACATACTGTAAGACAATTTGTTTTTGCAGTACGAGTTTGAGAAGGCACATCTTTGCTTAGACTGCTGCCCCCGCGACCCGGCCCCGGATAAGCGGAAGAAAATGGATGGATGGATGGAGTTTGAGAAGCTCACGTTGATGTTTTCTGCATCCACACTGGCCCCGGCCTCCAGCAGGATGTGGACAGCGTCTACGTTTCCTGCCAGCACGGCGCAGTGCAGCGGAGTGTTCCTGTTCACTTTGTCCACTGCACTCACAGAAGCATTATTCTTGATTAAAAAGTTGGTGGGCTCAGGCCTTGAAGAGAAGGACAACACCTCTCAGATAATATTGTACATACTTAATGTCAGATGTTGCTGATCCACAGACTTGTATGAAACTATTATCAAAATGTCATGCTTTGGAGCATTCCAAAGTTTTACTTCATGTTTTTACATTTGGAAGAATTACTTCTTATATTTTTACAGTTTGTTGACATTGTCAGTAAATGCAAAAAGACATTAAAGACCTGGGATTCTGACAGGTATTTGATAAATAGTGAAATCAGTGAAGAGCTATATATTTTTTCTTGACTGGACTGGTTTTACCAAAGGTAAATGTAATATTAAACAGGAGTGAAAAAGTGCAACAACTGAACACTTAAATTGATTCTTCTGAGAGTGGAAAGCTTACCCTATGATCTTCTGGGCTGCTAGCATCAGTGGTGTCTGTCCATTACAGTCAGGGCCATCAACTTCCTGGAAGCAAACGGGCAAATAAGGACTGCCAGCCAGGGAAATCAAGGACAAGAAAAATAACTTGCATCAAATGAAATAAACATCAATGCTGGGAGGTTGACCTGTCCTTTAGCCATTAGATAAGCTGCTATGGCCATATGCTGGAAAATAATGGCGAGGTGGAGAGCCCGGTAACCTTCTCCGTCAGCGATGGAGGGATCTGCTCCATATCTCATTAGCTGGATCACCATTGGGAGGTGGCCCTGCCTATTCATGAACAAAAACCAACAACAGCTTTAGGGAGAAAAAACACTGGATTACATTTTCTCTTTTTAACCTAACATAATAAGTGCCAAGTCATTTATGAAAAAGTATGGGATTAGGGATCATGTGCAACCTAAAATTTTCCTTTTGTTTCTCTGGTAAGTGATATGTAAATGACTGAGCCAAGATTAAACCAAATCTGGAAAGAAACATGACTGAACTCATAAAATCTAAATACACCCAACCCTGGCCCCAATCCCTTCACAATCATACAATCACCTTATGGCCCAGTGAAGAGGAGTTGAGTTCAGGTCTCCACCAAGCTGGTCAACGATGGCCCCTTTAGAAATATAATACCTTTCAGAAAACAGCAGGGAAGAAAAATCAGTGTCAAGACAAAAGTGAGTCTAGACAGCTGTTTCTTGTGTGTTAGAGCTTGCTATATTTCAGTTCAGTTGTCTCTGTTTCTTCACTATATGCTTTTGTGAAGGTGATTCTGACCTAACTTTACATCAATCTGAAGCATAGAGTAATCTTGATAGGAAAACAGCCAGAATGATACTTAACTGCTAAATATTTTGAATATAATGGCCCAATTTACATCTCATTTACCTGAGCATATTTTATACACTATTATGTTTTGCCTAATTTTGCTTATTATAATTTTTTTCAAACATTTTTCTAAACTTTTTCAAAAGTCCAGAATGATCTCCAGGTATGACTGAAACTTCATGGGCCATTAAATAAGTCTCCTGAATTTACATCAGAAATGCCATCAAAGCTCTTTATTTTCCACTGCGGCCTTGATTATTCTTAGCCTGGAAGCCATCTGCCTCAGCTTTTTGTAAATTCAAACTTAGTAAACACTATGTTAGAACTAGGCTAAGTGGAGTTTTATACATGACTAAATTAAAACGGGCTTCTGCACACAAACCAGATCTGATGTAGAGATTTGTTGTAATTAAATATTTACACCCTCTGACTGCCAGGTGTGACTCTTGTGTAGCTAGCTGAAACAACCAACAAAGTTAATGTTAGCATGTTCATATGACCCATTTAGAGAAAAGAGTAAAAGTTATGGTAACATGGAATACAACCTACCAATATCAATGTTTAAGATTTTAAATTACATTTCACAAAAGTAATAGACTTCAAATTTATGAGTCATTACACCAATAACATTTGACAAAATAATAATAATAACAACAAGGTTAGGATACGAGATATTTCTTGCGCATTCAAACTGTATAAATACTCGGAAATACACAGATTTACATATCCAGAAAAAGAAAAACAAAATAACAGCTATATTTACAAGGAATATCCCTGTTAAGCCTCTAAAATTTAAATGTTTAAAAGCAATGTTACATTGGCTTCTTGTTTACATAGTTCAAGGCTCGATAGGACAACGCCATAGATGTTTCCTATCACCCGATTTACACACCTATGGTTTTTACAAGCTACTACATGTTTTACTTTGGACTAGTGCAACCCAATTTAGAAAATCACTAGTCCAAAATCAGCTTGTAATTACTAAGAACTTGAGGAGATCTTTATGGTCAAACATAGTGATGGGTTTATGAAATGTACATAGTGCAGAAGAGTATTGGATTCTTTTCCCCAAATTTCTGAGACTGGTTGACACAGTAGTGCTACTCAGATTGGACACACAGTGTGTTTCCAGAAATATGGTGGGTAACCTGCAGTGACGTGTTTACACTTGTATCAGATTCCTCATGTCTCTCTAGGACGTCAGCTCTACTAAGACTTTATATAAAAACTGGACAAACCCAAAGTGACATCACCTAAAGGTTTTCTGAAATGCAGTTTTGAAGCTCAAGTCTGGTCGTCGCTGTCTTGGTAGTGCTTCATTCTACCTGCTAGGTCTAATCCAAAAATGGGCAAAGAGGCAAAACATGAGTGGAGCTCTCTAGACAGCTAGTGGCCAGCCACCTTTAGTCTCAATATAATTTAGATGGGCAAGTTATAAAAAATTTAAAAAAAAGTATCCCCCATCCCTCATGGAAGAGGTAAATTACCTATAGAGACCAAAGCTGTTTTAGTACCAGGATGTAAACAATTTAACAAACAATTTAACATGGGAGTCTATGGGGATTCACTCCCCTTTTGAGCCAGCCTCAAGTGGCCATTTGGGGAACTGCATGTTTTCACACTTCCACAGTAGCTTCATTTATCTGCCTCGGATGTTGCCACTTGACTGAGACAGAAAACATATTTGGAGGTCTTACTTGACCAGTTCCGAACGGTTGTTGATGGCCGCCCAGTGCAGCAGAGTGACGTTCTCTTTGTCTGGCTGCCTGACATCATACCCTGCTTCCACCAGCTCCTTACAACGCTCAAGGATGCCAAACCTGAGAAGATCACACAAATACAAGCACTTAAAAACACACCAATAATAATTACCAGACTAATTAGTGCCCCTGTCAAAATAAACAATAAAACAAAATGAACAAAATTACTGCTAAAGCAAAGAAGAGGGAATCATTTTCAACTTGACAGAAAACAAGCTGTCAACTGTGCGTTAAAGTGTAAAAGCAGGTTTATTTCATCGTTTTAGACACTGTGAAAAACATTGGCAGCATGTATACATGTGGTTCCCGCCAGACTTCCATTGACATGAACAGCCAGACAGAAGGGGCTCTGCAGGTTCTCTTCAATTCTTCCTTAGTCTTACAAGAGGAGTGACCTTCGCTCCGCCACACCTCATCTCACTGATAAGTTAGCAAGGGCAGCCAGCACTACAGGTAGCCACAAGTAGTGCCATGTACTAATTTCAGCTGGCACATGCTGACAGGAGAGTGTAGGCTTCCCTTCTCTGAACAATTTCCTTTCTAAACTGCTAGACTGTACAAATACACGAATCACCCTGTGAGTGCTAATTAAACACAAAGCTCTGAAAGCCAATGTGCATTCTTTGACCTCTCACTGCCAGAAATTCACAAGGAAAGGTGGTGTAATTTTCTATGTGCTACATGGTTTGAAAATATTTTAATGTTACACTTTCCTGAAAACAGTAAGAATGATATTATTTTACCACTGTGTACTCATCAAACACATTTTTAGTAGAAATTGTATGCAGAAATCAGATGGGTATTTTTATGGATGCCATTATAGCTCATGTTTAAGTAACAATGTAACCGTGTTTTAAGTGTTTCCTATCAAAAATTTTGGCACCCCTGCATTTGTCAGATAACACACCGTTTCTCCCAGAAAACTGTTGCAATCACAAATTCTTTGGTATTCTCATGTTCCTTTTTTGCCTTAGAACAACAGAACAACACAAAAAGCAGCGAAAAAAGCCAAATCTGATCCATTCCACACAGAACTCCAAAAATGGACTGGACAGAATTATTGACACCTTTTCAAAATATTCACAAATAGTTGTATTTCAAGTACATGATGCTCCTTAAATTTGTAATGAAACTCACCTGTAGCAACCAACAGGTGCTGAAAATATAGAAATCACACTTGCAACCAGTTAAAATAGAGAAAAGTTGACTCAGCCTTTGTGTTATGTGAACCACACTGAGCATGGAGAAAAGAAAGAAGAGCAAAGAATTGTCTGAGGATTTGAGAACCACAATAGTGCAAAAACCTGGACAATCTCAAGGCTACAAGTCCATCTCCAAAGATCTGGCTGTTCCTGTGTCCACTGTGTGCAATATTGTCAAGATGTTTACAGCTCATGGCGCCGTAGCTAATCACCCTGGACATGGATGAAAGAGAAAAATAGATGACAGATTGCAGTGAAGGTTTGTTCCAATGGTGGATAAAGAACCTCGATCAACTTCCAAACAACCCGACCTGCAGACACAGGGTGCAACAGTTTCAGCTCGCTCTATCCGTTGCCATCTGAATGACAAGGGACGCTATGTTAGGAGACCCAGGGGGACCCATTGCTGACACAGAAGCATAAACCAGCCTGACTGGAGTTTGCCAAAACTTACCTGAGGAAGCCACAGTCCTTCTGGGAGAACATCCTGTGGTTGAGCACATCATTCAGAAAATCTAATGAGGCCTTCAAAGAAAAAAGCACGGTCCCTACAGTCAAACACGATGGAGGTTCACTGATGTGTTGGGGTTGCTTTGCTGCTTCAGGCACCGACTGTCTTGACTGTGTGTGTGGCATTATGAAATCTGAAGACTACCAACAAATTCTGGGGCACAATGTAGGGCCCAGTGTCAGAACGTCAAGGCTCCACCAGAGGTCATGGGTCTTACAGCAGGACAATGACCCAAAGCAGACTTCAAAAAGCACCAGAAATGGTTTCAATGAGCTGGAGCGTTCTGACGTGGCCAAAAATGACTCTTAGATCTAAGTCCCATAGATCACCTGTGGAGAAATCACAAAACAGCAGCTGGGAGAAGGAACCCTTCAAATCTGGGAAACCTGGAGCAGTTGGCAAAACAGAGTGGTCCAAAACTCCAGCAGAGAGGTGTAAGAAAGCGGTTACAGGAAGTGACTGAGTTCAGTTAGTTTGTCCAAAGGGTGTGCTACCAAATATTAAGTTGAGGGTGTCAATAATGCTGTACAGTCCATTTTCCCTCTGCTTTTTTGTGCTGTTCTAACAAAAACAAAAGAAATAAACATGAGAATACCAAAGAATTTGCAATTGCAACAATTTTCTGGGAGAAGTAGTCTGTTACCTGACAGAAATGCAGAGGTACCAATATTTTTGGCCATGACTGTATGTCTGTATTGTTACTATGATATTGCGAGTAATCATTCAAATTTATTACAACTTAGGTTTTATTTGTGCAATTTGGGCCATAATCTTTGTTAGCAATAATAACACTGCAACAGTGTAACAAGCAGTTATTGTTGACATTTTAGGTTTGCTTAGCTTTGGTTTAGCCCCAAAAGAATGAAGGTTAGGTAATTTGGCTGATTTGTTTATAATCTGGTTAATTTCCCTGCTTGTGTTAACACATCCAGGAGAAATGATGGCAAAAACTACAAAAAAAAAAACACCCATGTTGCAACAGGAATCAAAATGATGCATAAATGTATTAGGGCTGCAAGTAACTACAACTTTCATTTCAATAAATAAATTAATAGTTTAGTCTACATAATATAAAGAAAAAATGAGTCCCTCAAAACTTTGCAGAGCCAAATGTGATGTCTTTGGTTTTCCTTTCATGTTTGACCCACAGTCCAAAACCCAAAAGTATAACATTCACAGTGATGTAACCATAGCTGCAAATTCTCACATGTAACAAAGTGGAGTCTCATAGTGTTTGGCACCGTTTCAAAGATTTTGCTTGGAAATGACTTAAACAACAAATATATGATCAAAATCCTTGCTAATTACTTTTGTGTAGACTAATCAATGAATGGTTTCAGCGTTTAAAAACAAATGCAGTGTACAATCATATATCAGTGGCTCACTACTGACAAAGAAGACGTGACAACGTAAAAATAACGCCTACTTCTTTTAAATTTGTGGCATCACATAAAATGCCAAAGTAACTGCTCCCCCACTTACTGTGTTGCTTGCACTATGTCCCAGCTGCTGCTTTCATCCATGTGCGACCGTTTCTTTGGCTGCTGAGTAAGATCTGCGCTTTTTCCAAACTGTCCATGAAAAGCTGGCATCAAGGGATGCCCCATCCCACCAAATGCAGCCGCCCTCGGCCCATGACTGTGAGAATGACCAGCATGCCCTTGATGACAGTCATCATGCAGGTGGCTGAGATCCTGAAACAGACAGACACAAAAACACACATAGTCAGCCCAAACTATTTAGTATTTAGTTTTATAATGCTGGATTATTTTTTATTACTTTTGCATCAATGTGGTGAAGTACCTTAATCTGTTATATTTAGCTTGATTATCCAAGAACATACAGTGTCTTAATAGACTTGGCATAAAATGTCACAATACATGTATCAACAACGCGCAGGAATGTCAGTGATAGATTGATTATTGATTAATTTCCATAAATAATTTAATCAATAAAAATACTAAGCACAGAAGACAAGGATGTGCAGTATAGTCATCAGAAGATGTACTGTAGTTTGCTGCAGTGCCTCTTACTGTTTAGTGACACAAATTTCAAATAAAGACATTGTTTTTTAATCTGCAACTCAAATAAATTTGTTTACTTCATCAGTTCTTTAAATTCCTAATTTACTATGATTTTGTGGCAAACGTAATATCCATTCTTAATATTGTGACATAAAAGTTACTGCTAAATCAGTAACTCGATTGAAAAGAAATTAATCTGTAGTGAGTCTGATAATTGATAACATTCCATGATTTATCAGGAAAAAGTTAAATGTTTTCTTTGGTTTCCAGCCTCCACAGTGAAAGGACTCGCTGCTTTTCTCTGTTGTGTATCACTGTAGCTAATGTCACTGTAGCACCTGGAAGGATACACCAGAGGGGGGGGAGACTTGGCAGGGTCTCTCAGAATGGCCCTCTGTACGGGCTGTATGTAGTTATGGGTTGGCAGGGTTTTGATGTATTGAGTGTTTTGATGTGTTCTGTTGTTACTGTGTGTTCCCCGGAAGTGTGTGTAATAAGAGTGGCTCCCTTGAGTGCAGAAAAGTTAGTTTTGATCTCCAGCTCCTTCTTCAACCCAGCCAACATTACAATATGTTGGATAACTTTTACCAGCTATTCACTTGATTTGATTAAACGAGGCTTTAGATATACTTGTGAATAGCTGCACTTTAGTGCACACGTGGGACCGTGGATTTTGCACTTAAAGTAAACCGATGGCGCACGAGGAAGAGATTTTTAGCACTCAGCATGAACAGGAAGAACAAGCATTTCAACCAAAACCCGTGTCAAGCTTCATATGGGCACATGGCTATTGTTTTAGAAGACTTGAAACACTGAACCTATTCATTAAGGGGCAAAAATAAAATTGATAACTATGCACTGGAATGTCTGGTGAGACAGAGTTGGCTGTCAGTGCATCATTATGTCAACCAAACGAATCAGAGCGACCTTCCTTAACGTGGATGTCGATGCCTTTACACAAAGAAAACTAGCTAAAGATGACAGCTGTTAGCTAGTTGTTAATGATTAACATCAGGTAACCAGCAGTAAGCTGACACTGACCACGTTAGCTAACAGCCTAGGTTAAAAACTGACCGATGATCTGTCTCGATGTGTAGCTGCCAGAACAGGTTATTCACCGACAAGCTATACTTAGTTAATCAGCGTGCTAGCTACAAAATGCTAACAACATGCAAAGACAAATAATAATAAGTCGAGACAAAGTACCTCAACCGGAGTTCCACCACATGATACAATGAGCGTACACAACTCAGGAAACAAAAGCAGCTAATGAGCATAACCTCACTTACATTACCGTCCTCAGTCCAGTCCATCTTTTGGAGGAACGAAAGGGAAGTTCCTACCGATGGGCAGGCAAAGATCAACAAACAACCTCCGGTGTGTGTTTTTCAAAATAAAACTCGTAAGGCTACTGAACCAGAACATTTGTTGTTGGAATTGCAGGAATAAAAAGTAAAAAAAAAAACAAGAAAATTTGGGGGGGGGCAAATCAACTCTACTCATTCTGGTAAAAATTATACATGTACAATCAGTGACAAAAATATATTTAAATGTGTGTATATTTTGTGAAATTACTCTTTTTTTATTATGAGAATTTGATCCATTTGTTCAAATAACATTTGGAAAGTCTACAAGGGCCGTGTGATTATATTATTTTATTCAGTTCATGTGTGAATTCAGTCAACTTGGTCAGTGGAAATCTCAAAAGTTAACAGCTGGACAAGCAAAGGACTCTAGTGCATGTACTATACGTGGAAGTGAGGAAGAGTGAGGGAGCTCATGGAAGCTTTTTCAGTATGCACTCAGTAGCAGCTTTCATATAAATAACTGGGGTGCCATCTCTACCACAATATCCAGCTATTCTCACTACAAACATGATGGAATGTCTTTAACCTTCCTCTCTCTGTTCAGTATGCTGGAATACTACCTGCTACCTGCTAATACGACATACTATGGTAATTTGTTTAAACAGTTTAGGAGGGCACAACTGAAGCACAAAGTGAAATAGCAAATGTCTTGAAAGTAGAAGGACACACCTTAAGGCCTTTATCATTTCGGTTGCTATTGTGCTTTAGCAAATTCAGTGAGATTTAAAGTTGGATCACCTGATTTTTTTGGCAGATTTTAAAATTATAATTGAGTTCACTATTAACTATTCCTGTAACTACAATGTTTAGGGCTGAGTGAGCTGTAGACATTAAGGTTAACTTGGCTTTAGTCCCATAAAGCTGTGTTCAGATTTTTATGTTGGTTTAAGTTCCTCATCTCACACTTAAATGAATGGAGAAACAAATTTCAAACAGATTTACAGTTAAATGCCCATAATCCGGTTGACACACAGCAAATGTGGATGCTTTAAAGGAGTTCTGAATTTATGCTTAATTTTCCCGGTTGGTGATCCAGTAATCAATGCAAGGTTATCAAATGTGTATTTAGCAATAAAACAAACACAAACGCAATGTGAGATGGAGGACACGCTTCCAAGTGTCCTTGTAAATGATATTTGTGTTGATATCATTTTTTTGTGTTTGTGTAGAAAAGTGGATTATAGCATCAGATTAGTTTCAGAATGACACTATCAACAATCCCATGTGAGTGTTGTGTTTGTGTTCTGTTGTACTGTTTAATGTACTTCAGTTATCCAGTGCACTTTTATAATATTTAAATGTGCCCATTTCATTTTGAAACCAAAAGCGTTAAACAGGAAATCTCCATTCAGTTCATTTTCATTACTTTGATGCATTTTTCTTCTCCCTTTTCTTCTTTCTGGCAATGCAGCAGTGATTTTATTACTGCCTACAGGCCTTTTCCCGCTGTTATCAGCATTACTCAACATGGATAAAAGTTTTAACACTTCACATCAAACAGTAATGCGGTCGATGTACCGGTCCGTCGTGGTGAAGAAGGAGCTGAGCTGTAAGGTGAAGCTCTCGATTTACTGGTCAATCTATGTTCCGACTCTCACCTATGGTCATGAACTTTGGGTCATGACCGAAAGGGCAAGATCCCGGATACAGGCGGCCGAAATGAGCTTTCTCCGCAGGGCGGCCGGGCGCACCCTTAGAGATAGGGTGAGGAGCTCGGTCACCCGGGAGCAGAGGAAAATGGATGGATGGATAGATCAAACAGAATATAGGGCGCCTGAGTGTGTGTGTGTTTTTTAGACTCACTTCTGCTGCAATGCTTGAAATACACTAACACGCCAAATCCCCCTCAATTGTTTTTACCCTCACCTGTGTGTTAGTTCAGTGAGCCCTAAACATAACTCTTTACCTCTTCTGAGTTATACACTTGAGTCCCCAGATCAACAGAGTGATATAACACAAAAATGAACTAAAGATCTTTGGCCTCACTCCGCTGTTGCATTTCCAGGTGAGAAGCAGTAGATAGCGCCACTGTTCAAGTCATGATCAGAGAGAACCTATGTTTGCCAGGCTGCAAAGAAGCCCATCTAATGTCTTGTCACTGTGCGGGTTTTTATGAATTGTCTCCACATGGGAATGATCATGAAAAGTTTATTTAGTTATTATTCTGGAGAGTAACATATGAATAATATGTTCACACTTCACAGTATAATGTGAAAGTCAAATCAGCTTGAACTGTTGTCAAAGAGACTTATTTGAAAAGTTTGCATCCAGGTTTAAGCCTCTAAAACATCATTTTCATATATAAAAAAAAAAGTAACACTTCCTAAAAATAAATACATAAATAAAAACATGCTGCTTGCTTTATCAAGGTAGCCAAAAAACCTTTTAATAAAGATGTGACTACACCAGTTAAAACAATGCTAATTGAATAGGGGTCATAAATAAGCATGTTCATAAAATTAACATGTAACCCGTGGAATACTGTGCCTTCTTAATTCACCATGAGTTTTATCAGCCTTCTGGATGATCCTCTCCTGCACTGGCCTGCCCAAGGTTTAATAATTACTGGAGTCTGAACATGAACATTCTGTTTTTCAGGAACATCACTCACACAGTTGGATGCATTGGATTATGAGACAATGGACCCCTAGGCACAGACATGGAAAAGGCCATCCCCTCCATTTCTCTGTAGTCATTCTGGGTCTCACTGGGGATGTTTTGTGTCTCTTTGTAGCCATATTGTGTCTCTTTGTTGTACATTTGCATCTCTGTGGAGTCATCTCTTTGTGGTTATTTTGCATCTTTAGTCATTTTGTGTATTTTTGTGTTTATTTTTGTGTTTTTTTTTTTGCATCTCTCTGAGCCATTTTGAGGTCATCTGAGTTTCCCTGACCCAGGGTGTTCCTCAAAAAACTGGACCTGGGTGTAATCATTACAGAGGACCTCTCCTGGTAGCGCACACAGTTTCACTGATATTGGAACGGCTCAACAGCACCTTTTTTTCTAGAGTAGATTGAGGAGAGTGAGCCTGCCCCAAGACCTTCTCATGAATGTCTCTCAGTGTACAGTGCGTTAGAGAACATACCGACGTTACTGCTTTAGAGCATGGTACGCCAGCTGCAGTAGAGAGGACCAGAGGGTTCTGCAACAGGTCATCAGGATGGCGCAAAACATCACTGGCACTCAGCTACCCACAGGTGAGAACATTTAACTGTCCATATTGGAGCAGAGCCACCAAAAATCATGAGGGACTCCACCCACCCTGCACTCTGCCCCTTCAAACCACCATTACACTCATGAACAGTTAACCATGTTTATACATATAAAAAGCTGCAGCAAACATTACAGTAACCATTTTACATATTAAATATCTCATGTTAAAATGTTTTTTTGTTTTTATTCTGCTTATTTGCACTCATCAAAAGCCACTGAGCAGGAGTCAAATTCCTTGTGTTTTAATAATGCTTGGCAATAAAATTTGATTGACTGATTGATTTATTGAAATACTGGAGACCCGAGTGCATGTGCCAGATCTGTTCCTATGAGGGTGTAGGCTAATCACCAAGCAGAAATAATTGAGCTGTCAGGAGGAAGTCATAGGAGAACTAAAGGTCAATTTTACTATTGTTTGCATGAGGCAGGAGATTAGACTGAAAATGAAACAGAATCGGAGCGTTTTTATGAAAGGAAAAGGACTGTTTACATTGCTGTCAACACATACTGTATAGCACATCTACCTTTGACATGAGTCCATATTTTCTAATGAGGAGTCACTGGGGTCATTTAAACCGGTGTGGTTTAAGGTGTAAGGAAGCAGGGTCATCCAGGGAAAACATGTAGAGGATGTGTGTTTAATGCTGAATGAACAGCAGAGGTGAATTGTATGACTAAACATTCTTCTGAAATGTAATAATGCTGACGTTGTATGAAAACTTTATAACTCCAAGTAGCAGAAAATTTAAATATTTAAGTAAAGTACAGATCCTTCAAAATTGTACTTAAGTACAGTATTTGAGTAATTGTACTTACTTGCTTTCCACCTTTACTTTTGAAACCCTTCCAAGTCATTCAAGAACAAGGCTTTTCTTTGAGTTTCTGAGCAGCTGACATTTTGGGAGATGCATATTATGCAGGTTAGGTGTATCATAAGCGCAGAGTAAGAAATGATCATTTATGTTCACATCAACACAGTCACATAAAACTATACTCTACTTTCATAAAGCTGAATATAATGATATTTTTGCCACTGTAAGGGCAGCGAGTTCCTTTTATTCAGTTTCAGTGTCAGAGTTTGGCACAGAAAAACAGAGAACTGTTGTGTATCCACCAGGTGAATGTACATAAGCAATATTCACTGTCCTCTTCTGGTTTGATCTCAGCTGACCTCTGAGAAAAATGTCTCTCTGTCTATCCTTTGGTGCTGGGCAGGTGGTGTAGAGTGTAATCGTTTCTGTAACATTGTAGTGATACGAGCAGTGAGAGTGAACCTTACAGACAATGTGCCATAAAAACAGAAACAGCTAAAATGTTTATTAGAGCTGAGGGAAATGATGGAATTGGTGGTAATTCTTTGAGTCATTATGAGTAACACTCTTCACACACAGTGTTTTCATTCAATGTTAATAATATACTGTATAATACTGATCAGTGCAGCTTTTCAAAGTTTAACCTCAATAATGTTCCCCCTGTGAGACAAAAATGAAGGGATTTATCACTTTTCCAGAAGGACCACTGTTACTTGAGAGCATGTTTCATCCTGAACCTGACACTACCTGTTTTCTCATAATGAGAACGAATAAGTCTGCGCTTCCTGCCATGTTCACAGTGAGCGTTGCTCAGACTCTCCAGAGATACTTGCAGATATGAAAGTGAGAAGACCCCAGCTGATGGAACTTAATTATGGTAATAAAGTGAGCG